TCTCCGAATAATCGCCGCTAATGGCTCTTCTCTTCTCTCTCCCCCCTCCCACCGAAAACCTGGCCAAATTCACTCACGATGAAATTACTTACTTAACGAACGGTGATAGATGTCGCTTTGTTCGTATACTACGTATATACGTACGTACAGTACGTATATATTCGACGAGTTGTGTTTACACGCTATATAAATATAGAATCGATCTCGACGATCTTTTTGGGAAAGAAATGATATTTGTGATATTGATAATCTTCGACCCGTTTCGAAAGGAGTTAAAGGAATATCGTTAAAGGAATTTTCAAGTATATCTGTAACAACAGATATTATTATTGGGCGCAATCGAATTGGCCCGAAACGATTGTTCGGACGGAAGAGCGTTTTGATAAGGGGGCGGAAGTTGGTCGCGGCCCAGCTTTCCTCCATTGCTGTTGGCCACCGATAACAGTCACCGACGACCGAGCATCGCTTCGTTTCGCGGCAGATTCGGTTTCGATCTATCAATCTCGAGAGAGGGAGGGAGGGAAGTACGTACATACGCGTAACGTCGTGCTTTGATCTACGAAAGCAATCTTATCGATGCGCATACGATATGCTTCCCCCCACCGTTATGCATATGTATTTCGGCCCCGAGCAGCCTCGAGTAGTCTCTGCGATATTTGCTCGAGTGATTTCGTTACCTTTATACATGGGGTAGTATGGGGTAGAGAGGATCGGTTTTATACGATACGATAATTCTCTCCACGAATCCGAAGGCGGGTTTCTTCGCAATCCTCCAATTTCTTTTTTTTTTTTTTTTTTTTTTACCACTTTTCTATCGTTGAAATCGAATGTACGTGCCCTCTCGAACGTTTTTACTCCGTCCATCCTCGAATAATAATTCCGATTTACGACTCGTATCGGATGAAAGATATTGGGAGGAATATTCGAGGAAAGGAAACTCGTTGTATCGGCGGCCGTCTCTCGTTTAACGCATGTAAATTCATCCGGACGTGACGTGGCGCAAAGTCTCGACTATGAAAGCCGTCTAAGGCCATCCGTGGCAATCGGTGTCCATTAAGTCGCCACCACGACCCGTTTGCCTTTCCGCGTTTCCAGATTTCTTTCGAACGCGTAATCACGACCGCACCTTCCCGTTATTCGTTTTTTAATCGTCGTTATTGGTTTTACTCCCTCTCTCTCTCTCTCTCTCTCTTTTCGTTTTCCCGAGGAAAAAAATGGCAATGATTTTTTTCGATCGAGCAGACCTGTTCCACCGGGTAAATGTCAAGCGATCCATCCAAGCGACGCAGCATTACAAATCATAAGTGAAAAATTCAATGATATTTAAAGGATCTTTTTGAAAAAGGTGATTTATAGCAAGGGGGGAATATTATAAAGGGAATTTGCATTTTCGAAACAAGCTTTTCGCAGTCCCTTTTCGAATCGAGGGATTGGATAATAAGAGATTTCGAGAGTGTTTTTTCTGTTTCGGTGTGTCAGGTCGAATGGCTCGTTAATGGCGCGGATGATCGGTGTAATTTTCTCCCGGCCGAGACTTTCGATCGAATTATCTTATCGACGTTGTCCACGGCGCGCGGATATTTTTTTTTTTTTTTTTTGCCTTCGAACGCGTGAAAAACACGGAGCAACGTCGAATTTTATTGATCGAGGCCGAATATATTTAAATAAATATTATTATCGGAAAGGAATGTGGATTTAAACAGATCTATAAAACAGGTATAAGAAGAGAATCGGCGGAGCGAGTCGTCGTTGGACGACGAGAGGAAACTTGTCTATCCGGGTGCAAGTTTTCTTATTTTCCACTCCTTTTTTTTTTTTTTTTTTTTTTTTTTTTTTTCTAAATTGTATCTATTGGCTCGAAGCGATTGAAAGTAATTGAATGAAGCGGCCGGTTATTTACGAACGTTTAAGCGGAGCCAACTATCTGTCCATTCATTCGGTCTTGTCCCTTCATTCATTCATCATTCACTCTCGCCGGTGTACGGGCGCTGCATGTATAGCAGTAGTAAAGGCCCATTCAATTGATCGGTGATTGTCTAAATTATAAGATTGCCATACAATGGCTCTCATCTCGACCTATTGGGGTCTCGTTCGACCGTTGCGTCACCACTTTAGGACCGGATCGCAGGCCGCGACCGCGTCAAAAGAGCACCTACGAAATCGATCCACGATCCCTCCTAATGAGGAAGACGCGGCCCGTCGATCGATCGCTCGCCGCCACTGTGACGGAACGCTTCGAAGGACGAGGGAAAAGGGAGAGGGGAGGGGGGGGCCCGTACGCTGGAAACCACTGGCCGCGATGCCAGCTTTAACCACCCGCCGCTAGGAAATACGGCAACACCCGCGACACGTGGGAAATCCAAGCTTCAGAGATATATTTCCTTCCTTTTTTCTAACCACGCTTATATTCCCCGGGAATAATTTTGCTAAACCGTCGAATAAAAAAAATTCGAATCGAGAGGGACCGAGCGGTGAAAAAAGGAAAAAATAAATAAATAAATAAAGAAGACCGGATTGAGTCGTCTCAACAGGAGACACGTTTTCGTGCGCGTTTGTTCGCGAAACTATTCCAACCGGTAACTGTTCCGGTCGGTAATGGAGTCGGGCCGAAAAGAAAGAGAATTCGACCGAGGGAACAGTTGTGTGGACAGATAGAACGAGAGAGAGAGAGAGAGAGAGAGAGAGGGAGCGAGCGCCTAATCCCCGGAAACAGGCTTAATTACAGTCGCGTCCGAAACAGGATAATGGCCGAAGCGCGAATATGGCTGTCCCGTGTCTGGCTAACTAACGCAGCCCAGGCAAATCGGTTTATCGTTCCGCCGAAAAGTTGCTTCAATTCTAACCTGAGAGTCCGTCTGCGCCCAACTTCCTGCTCGCATTAGGCACTTACGCATTACACCTGCACCGGCCCGTTGTCGCGGAAACTTGCGAAACGTTAATTAGCATCCATGACACTGGCGGCGCTGCCAAGTGCGTCGTTCGTGATTCGATTTGAGGTTAAGTTGACTCGCCAGTTTACCCGGATTTACGGGCGTAAGCCGTGATCTCTCCTTCGTCGTCGACCAACAGAGTCGCGCGCCACTTTTTCCTTTTCTCGTCCGTATACAATTTTTGTCGGTAATTCACACGCGAGAGAGAGAGAGAGATACGTCGAAGGATGTGTCGGTGATGGATGGATATCGTCGAAAGCGCGAAGAGATTCGTTTCGGAAGGGCATCGCGATACGATGGAAAATTTATCGCAACACGGTGCAATCGCGTCACGCCAGACCGAGTTTCTTCTTTCTAGACAATAGCAGCTGCGGCACGTGATTCACGAACGTACGGCGCTCGCGGAAATTTATCGTGGCGTCGTGTGGGCATCGCTCGTACAATTTACTGCAATCGGTAACAGTTAGCGGCGCGCTAAAAGTCCCTGGAATATCGAACCTTCGTAATCATGTACGAAAGCCGTACGCACGAGTCACAACGTTGTTAACAGCGTAACAGCGCAGGATTAAATCGCGATCGCTTAAATTATTTTTTCATCGTGATATCGAGTTCGTTCGTGGACCGAGTGATTCTTTGTCGCAGCAATTCGAAACGACTCCTCGGAGAGAAGAACGTATCGTATTATCCATCCGAGAAAGAATATATATATTTAACACTTTTAACATTTTTATCATTTGTTTCAACCACCTAGCTATTCTATTACCAAGTGCAAGCGTAAGGCCTGCAACTTAAGTACGCAGAAAATTGCAGATTCGCAACGAACGCTATCATTACGTCTCCCACTGAGAAAATGTTTTCAAACGATCGCGAGATTGCTTCTGGAAATCGTTCGAAACGAAACGTGCAACTCTGGTTCACGTTTCAGCCACGCTGCCTACGGTCGCGCTCGAGTCGAGAATTATTATCGATACACGGATACGCGATCGAGCACAAATTATCCCGACGTTCAAGCCCGGTAGGAGAGGGGGAGGAGGGAAGGGGGAAGGAGGATCGGGGAGAAAAGAAGTTTTCGAGTTGGTACACGTGCAACAGCACGCGGAATTCTCCGGGCGCACGTAAACGGTCGTAAAGCAAAGCGATCCTCGAACGTAACTCGCGTTTCTACGGTGTACTCGGTGAAGTTATCTGTGCATCGGCCGTGAGTGTACGCTAAGTACGTGCAACGTGCAGCGTCGGTAATATCCAGTGTTGCACACGTAAATATACACGCACGTGGAACGGCAGCATGGTTCGACGGTGCGCCACTAGAGGCGAGTATTAAACGGATACTTGCGTACAGGCCTTTAAGTAGGCTCTCGCTCTGTGTGTGCGTGCCTGCGCTAGACTCTCTGCGGAAGCGTTGCATTGAGACCAATCGAATAGAAACTAATTTAATACAAACGAACGCACACGCGCACACCGATGTTTCTCGCGTTTCCGACCGCTTAGTAGCTTAATACGACTCTGCCGAGGAAAAATGATTTTTTTTTTTTTTTATCTATTCGACATTTTTGTTCAGATTCTTTTATTCAACTTCGATTGATTTTCATTAATTTGCCAATCGAGTTTCAAAGCGATACTCTATCCGTAAATGATAAACTAATAAATATTTTAAAAAAGTATTTAATTTTCATCCTTTCCTTTTCATCGATAATCGTGAAAAAAGTAGGAAATCCGTCGTTTCGTTCGAGCGTTAAAGATATTCGAAGTCGAAGAATTTTACGTCTCTCGCAAACGGCAATACGGATCCCACGTCGAGCGAGTAAATCACACGGCTCCCGAAGATCCGCGAACTTTTGCGCCATCGCTTATTGCGAAACGCTTTCAATTAGCGCGCTTTCTAATTGTAACTCATCGCAATTAGAATCGACGAAATTACGCGCGCGGCGTTGCACCGCTCGCATTATGCGCCGACGCCAGACGTCTTGGTGAGCCAAACCGTATCCCCCTGCTGCTCCTATAACCGCGTTTACTCGCGTTCGTTGTGGGTGAAGGTGCGCGCGAGCGCACCAACACACGCTCCATCTCGAGCATACGCGAATCGGTATACGGGTTATTAAGCAACGCCGTTCGCACGTCTCCCCACCTCTATCTCTTTCGTTTCTTTTCTCTCCCCTCCCTCTTTCCCTCTTCTTCTTCTTCTTCTTCTTCTTCTTCCTGTGTTCTTCTTGACGAGCCACGCTGCTCTCGCCTCAGAAGCGGTTCCGGCCCGATGCAAATGCGCTCGTAAAGACCGATGATGATAACGTTTGCGAAGAAAGAAGGGGGAGCAGGGGGCGTGGGGAGAAATTAGCGAGACCTACACAGATGGACACAGTGAGATAACTCTGGATAGATCTTTGTCTCTCACCTGGCTTAACGGACCGGTAGATGTCGAGCAGATGTGCAACGAACTATGGTGTTGCGGATCGAAAGATTCGAAAGAAAATGGGGAAAACGTAAAACTGTGATATATTTCCTCGAAATCAACGTTGGGTTAACAGTTTCGAATCGACAGCTCGATGTATATTTCTCTCGTCGATAGCGGTACTTTTTTTCCCCACTTTTTGTCCACGGTGTCTAGATCCGTTGTTGGCACGGTACTTGTACCAATTACAACTACCGTAGTATTAGTAGTAGTAGCTATCTAACCTATCTACCTCCAAGAAAACGGAGGAAGATGGAGAAAAAGAGAGAGACAAACAGAGAGAGAAAGAGTAGCCGCGGGGAAACGACTACGCGCATAAGCGATATGCCGCCCCGATATATATTTATACGGCCTTGCGCCGTCCGTTTCGGACGTGGACAATGAGCCACGAACCGTCTCATGGGGTCGCCAACGATAAGGGATATAAGTAACGCTTGAACCGTGCTTCCGGTTGCCAACATTGTCGCTCCCTGCTCGATTCAAGATTTTCGAAACGGTGATAAATCGACGATTTTTTTTTTTTCTTGCGCTTTTTTCACACGCGTAAGAGAAACGGACCTCTCTCTCTCTCTCTCTCTCTCTCTC